ATAAGAGCTCAACATCAAAGCTTTGTGGGTAGTGGCGGAGATGTAAGAAGATCCAAGGAGTTCCAAAATGCTTTCCACAGTCTTTTAATCTTTGGTCCTGATCAAGCACTTATTTTGGAGTTCATCCCACCTATGGAGCTTCATCTTCTGTTAGGGGTGGTCAACCATCTGTTCAAATGCTTAGTGCAAAAATGGCCAAAGGCCACAGAATGGCCAACTTCATTGCACATCAAGATTCAGCCTTTTCATGGAGGGCACTTCAAAGGCAATGACTGCATAAAGCTTCTGAGGAAAATTAACAAATTGGCTGAAATGGCTGAGAATGAGAGCATTTCTGAGCCATCTCAATTTATTCAGACATTCAAAGACTTTCACTAAGTTGTCTCTGCATGCTTCGGAAAAACTTTACATCCCAACTATGAGGAAAAAATCACCATCTTCAAAAACAGTTACTTGAGTTTGGGAATCTCTGTTACTCCAAAGGTTCACACTGTTTTCCACCATGGGACACAGTTCATCAAGCTGAAAAAGAAAAGCCTTGGTCTATACAGTGAACAAGCGACTGAAGCACTGCATTCGGATTTCAGCAAGCATTGAGAGCGATACAAAAGATTGAACACCCATCCAGACTACTCCAGTCAACTCCTGAAGTGTGTCATTGATTATAACAGCAAGAAAATGTAGAGTAGCTTGCTATGAGGCACTGACCATCAATGAACATGTTGCATTTTTGAGAATTTATTAGTTTATCTTTAGAATGTATTTATTTTGTAATAAATAAATGTTTTAAGATGTATTTTTATCATTTGTTACCTTTTTATTTCATAATATGGTAATTTAGGGCAGCCAAATATTTTTGAAGGAATTTTGCAATTTTTCAGGTTTCATAATTTAAAAGCAAAAACTTCATTGTTGAATAAGTCTTGCGGACGGTAATCCCGGATTTCAAAATCACTTGTTATGAGATCCCTATGATATTTACTAACACCCCTCAAAAGGGTTTTAATAGGAGTTGTTTTTGGTATTAGGGTCCAAAATTTTCAAACAGTGTCCTATTATTAGGGTCCAAAATTTTCAAACTGTGTCCTATATAAGTATTAAGAAAAAATATAGCAAAAATATATTTTTAATAGTGAAAAGACATACAAATTTTTTAAGTTTTCAGTAAATCATTTCCTAAGTATTATTACTTATTCTCAATTTTAAAGTGTCTCATAACTTAATTGTGGTTTTACTTATTCTCTTTTTTATGGCTTGTGCTAAAAATCCAAGTAGAGCACAAGTTTTTGAAATTACCTCAGAAATGCAAGATATACCTGAGCTGGTTAATTTTTGTAACCTTTTTGAGTAGTTTAAAGAATAAAATTTTATACACCACTATAGTCAAAACAACTTGACGTAGCAGTCAACAAATACTGTGTGCTGTGACACGACTAAGTCACAAATGAAACAAAAAAGCTCACATCATAGTTAATATATGTACTTCAATGAAGCAGGTCGGAACCCTCAAAATAATTAAGCGTTGTCAAACATTTGGTACTTTGGTTGAACGCCTAACCAACTATTGAGTATTCTACAAAATCAATGGCGGCGTCTCTACTAAATACTATATTATAAATAGTATTTAAGATTTGTAAAAAACTTAAACTAATTATTTTTTCTGGTTAATTAACTAATAACTTATTATTCACATTAATGGCAAGCGGTTACACAGTTTTATACAAAAAAATTTCTTTTATAAAAAAACTTTTGTATCTTTAATGATGCACAAACAGAAAATTTTTTTTTCATTAAAAATTAGCATAATAGAAAGTAAAAAAAAAAAATTTTCTATTAAATATAATAATAAACTCATAATAAATATAAATAAATACTACAAAAATAAAATAATAAAACAATTAATAATAAATATAAATATATAATACTTTTTTTTTTGTTGAACTTTCAATGTTTAGATGAGTGAAAGGTATCTACTATTATTAACATAGAGTGCGGTGTTTATGATACATCTCTTTTTAACAAGGGCTATTCTAGACAAATGATAACTTTGATGATGATTCCCATCTTGTGTATGCCCTATCTTTAAATTTATAATTTAATCTAAAATAATTAAACTACTTGAAAACTAATAACCACTCTAATACAACTAAAACCTGTTTTAATTATGCTTTTTATGAACAGCGCAGAAACATCTAACTCAATATATTGTTGGTTTACAAGTACCAGTAAATAGTAAGTGACCAGGGCCCCGGCCCCAGCTAAAAATGAGACTTTTTGCAAACCTGGCCCCAGCAAAATTATAAGATAGCAGGGGTTGATAGCCGGGGCTGGAAATAAATTTATAATTCTTTATATATTATAATTTCCTATTTACATTTACTATTTATTAAATTCGGGCATATATTTATGCTAATATTTAATAAATAGGGACAGATACAGTAAAAGGATGCAACTTGTTGAATAAGAAGCCAAACAAGAATGAGTTTTGGTTTATTGTAAA